TGTAAAATATTCTCTCTCTTCTCTCTTCTCTCTCTCTCTCTCTCTCTTTCTCTCTTTTTCTTACACACACACACACACAAACGGGGCCAAATCTCTCAAATTGATCTTATGATCAATTAGCCTGGATCGTACCAGAGGCAAAGTCTGTTGGTAATGTCAAACGAATTTAGCCTGGACTCGCACCAGGGGCAAAGTCTTTGGTCAAGCTACGAAAAATTTAGGCACGAACTCGAACCAGGGGCAAAGTCTTTTGGTTCAAATCTACGAAATTTAGCACGGACTCGAACCAGGGGCAAAGTGGTCGGTAAGGGGCAAAGTCTATCGCACGAAGATGGCGGTCTCTTCTTTAGGCAGGCCTTTGGCGATCTGTCTATTAATCTGTGGTAATATAACATTGTCTTCCGGAATAAAAATTAAATAACCTCGACATACCTAAAATAATAACTTACATCTATATTTAATGTATTAAGAATGGTAGTTCAAGATCCTGCATAAACAAAATCCGCAATTACCGGAGATAACGGAGACCCAATAGGAACACCATATATTATTTATAATTGACCTTATTAAACGTAAAATATGTAGACGACATAATAAATTTGATAACATCGGTAAAATCATTTTTAGAAATATGGTTTCTTTCTCAATATATTCCCATCTCTATTATGCTGTCAATTACAAGCTCAAGAGGAACATTAGTAAATAACGATGTTACATCTAAAGACACTAAAGTTTCATTATTCTTTAGTGAGACTTCAGATAGCATGTTACACAAATCATAACTATTGTTAACATGACTCTTAGCTTTAGGGATCGCGTCTGTAATAATTTTTTGTATATAAATTGCTAATCGATGAAAAGATGTGTTAATAGAAGAAACTATAATTCTAAATGGTACATTTTCTTTGTGTAAATTTGGTAACCCATATGTTTTGGGGAGAAGTGAATCACTCGAATGTAATGAATAATATTCTTTTTTTGAGATTATATCATCTTTTAACCATTTTTAAAAAAATTATTTAGATCTTTTTCTATCTTAGCTATCGGATTTATTTGATTATTTCGTAAGTATTTTTATCATTTAGTAACTCTTCGATTTTATCGATGTAATATTTACTATTCATAGCCACTGTGACATTACTTTTATATGACCGGGTGAATATGATGTCCGGATTATCCTTGCAAAATTGTTTCGTTTTTTTATACATATCCAGTAATTTTTTGTTTACCTGATTTTTTTTGACTCATTATTTAAATAATAGGTAAACTGAGGGATCGCGATGTTACGTATTGTGATAAGATTTTTTTGCTTTTAGAATTACACTCAATATCTTTGATAAACTCGTGTATCACCCTTTTTGTCATTTTGTATAGAAAGACTAAAGTTACTCCCAAACTGTAATAAATTTATGACATCAGTTGGGATTGCTCTATCAGATAGGTTAACAACCACTTGTCACTTGTTTGTTCTAAAGTGTTTTGTTTCTCGTTGGTAAACCTTGTATAGAAGGTTCGCACGCCAAGGCGGTAGTTTTCGTTAATGATCACTCGCGGATTCGTTTTAATATACTTTTATTCAAATCACAAATTATAATAAGAGTGTTAGAAACGAGGCGGACGATATTTCAACAAAAGGTGTATCGATCTATCTCGTCTCGTGGCTGGACGCTCAATAATGATCCGAGACACGTAGCCAAGGCGCGAAGCGAAAATTTTGGGGATTTGCGCAGGCGATTCGCGTCGAGCGAAGGAAAAGACAGGCGAGTAACACGTGGATCACATGTGTTTTTGACGTGTTGTCCCGCGTTGGCGCGAATAATTACTGAGATGTCGAACGATAATATAAACGGAGAATTGAACGACCTATACTTTAGGATTAGGCTTATTCCTGAACATACCGCCCGCCTCGAATGTAGGCATTCGAAAAAGTACAAATGGTTTAACAATAATAAAAGACATAATGGAATAAACGCTGTACAAAGAATATCGGTATCTCGTAGATATTTCAATAACAAAGAACGGGTGTTAGCGCATATTAAGACGAGATTCCGCCCGCCATGACGGAATCTTTTACTTCTTCGGTATTAATCGCAACAGGTAAGAAGCATAGTTTCACGATCGGTCGTTTATATTCAGAACGGGAGGTTTTGACCGTGACAACGCGCGTCAGGCCATCTTCTCCTGGATGACAGGCGACAATTCGTCCAAGATCCCAATGGCTTGGCGGAGCCAAGGGATTACGCACTAGGACTATTTGGCCAACTTTAGCAAGTCGCTGGATAACGCGCCATTTTGGGCGTTGTTGAAGAGAATGCAAGTAATCGCTTGACCAGGACCGCCAAAACTCTTCCGTCAGACGTTGAATCATTTGCCAACGCGACAATCGATTCTCGTTAAATTCAAGCACGCTTGGTTCGGCGGGAGCGAGAAGAGAGGTACCGATCAAGAAATGACCAGGCGTTAACGCGTGATAATCGTCAGGATTATCGGAGACGGGAGCGATCGGACGAGAATTCAAGCAAGCTTCAATGCGACAAAGAAACGTGGTCATTTCTTCAAAAGTTAATGTATGGAGGCCGATGCAACGCTTTATGTGGTATTTGACGCTCTTGACACCGGCTTCCCACAGTCCGCCGAAATGTGGTGCGGCCGGGGGGAGGAATTGCCACGCAGTTCCATCGCTAGCGAGACGATTACGAAAGCTTGGATCGCGAATTGCTTTCGCGTGAGCTTCGGATAATTCTCGATTAGCGCCATGAAAGGTTGTACCGTTGTCTGAGTACATGGACTGCGGTAGTCCTCGGCGGGAGACAAATCGCTGGTACGCTGCAATAAAGGTCGGCGAGCTGTAATCGGAAACAAGTTCTAAATGCATAGCCTTGGTCGTTAAACATATGAACAGCGCAATGTAAGCCTTTTGCGATTTGTGTCCTCGGCCGGGCGCGGTTCGGACAGTGATTGGTCCAGCGTAATCAACGCCAGTATGTATAAATGCGCGAGCGGCACGGTTAACTCTCGCCTCCGGTAGATCGCCCATGAGTTCGACCGGTTTTTTAGCGCGCTCACGAGTGCATTGTACGCACTGATACAGAACAGCACGAACGGTAGCGCGAGATCGGAGGATCCAAAATTCATTACGTAATGAAGCGAGTGTTAATTGGGGACCAGCATGTAACGTTCTGAGATGATGATGCTGAATAATAAGAACTAGCAATGGATGTGCTCGTAATACGAGCGGATTCTTCGTCGTTTCTGAAAGGCAAGCATGACGGAGCCGTCCTCTGATGCGAAGAAGTCCGTCAGCGTCTAAATAAGGATTGAGTGTGGATAAGGAACTAGTTTTTTGTAACGGAAGTTGCCGTTGTAAAGTCGAGATTTCAACGGAAAACATCTCGGATTGCATAACTCGGAGCCAGTAATGTTTGGCTTTCTGGATCTCTTCGGGATGGAGGATCGCTTGTGAACACGATGCGCTTTTAGAGGATCGGAGTCGATAAAGAAAACGGTAAAGATAAGCGGTAATTCGGAGCAATCGAGGCCACGAAGAATAACGTGATGCGAGATCCCAACTAGGGGTTACATGTAAAGAATGAATAGGTGGTTGAGAACGCTGTTCAAGGGCGGTCTCGGCTGGTATCGAGAGCTCGCAAGTCGGCCAGGATTCTGGAGATTGGCAAAGCCATGAAGGACCTGACCACCATAAATTATAATTTGCGAGAGCATGGGGAGCTAGACCGCGAGAAGCACAATCGGCAGGATTGTCCTGCGTTGGAACATGACGCCAAGAAACTTCAGGCAGCAAGGACTGAATGATCGAAACGCGATTGGCAACGAAAGTTTTCCATCGAGATGGAGACTGACTTAGCCAAGCGAGTGTGATGGTTGAGTCGGTCCAACAGTGACATTCGATACTCGGAAGTTGAAGAGCGGACCGCACATAATTAACTAACCGAGCGAGAAGGAGCGCCGCCGACAATTCCAATCGGGGAACGCTTATCGTCTTGAGGGGAGCCACTTTCGATTTTGCGATGAGAAGAGAGATGTTAATTGAGCCGTCGACATTAACAACGCGAAGGTAAACAACGGCTGCGAAAGCCATAGTTGAGGCATCGGAAAAGCCATGGAGTGCGCTGTGCAGAGTATGAGATCCGTGCGTCGTCCAACGCGGAATACTGAGCGTCTCGAGATGCGGTAGTTGGTGATGATAAGTTGCCCAGTGGTCGAAATGTTCACCCGGAATGTCGTCGTCCCACTGACATTGGATCGACCACAATCGTTGCATAAAGATCTTTGCACCGATGATGACGGGAGCGGCCCATCCCATCGGATCGAAAAACCCAGCGATTGTCGAGAGAATAGCTCTTTTCGTTTTTCCCGGCGAAGACGGGAGAGATACGCGAAGTTGAAACGCATCGAGCTTTGGATTCCAACTAACTCCTAACACTTTAAGGTGTTCATCGTCTTGGAGGACTTTGTGAGTGGCTAGTCCATGATCGGCAGGATCGAGGTCTGACAAAAGATCTGGAGAATTACTTGCCCACTTTCGTAGGCGAAAGCCTCCTTTAGCGAGAAGCGCGATTAATTGGTCTCGTGTTTGTCGTGCAAGGATATGATCGTCGGCTCCGAACGCGCAATCATCAACGTATGTTTGATGACGTAGAACAGGGACGGCCAACGGAAATTGAGCACCGTCATCTTCAGCGAGTTGGTCTAGCACTCGAAGAGCGAGATACGGAGCGGCGGCAGTGCCGTACGTCACGGTAAGAAGACGGTAGTCGCGAACAGGTTCGCTGGGAGAAGAGCGCCATAGAATGCGCTGGTAATCAGTATCGCGGAAGTCAACTAAAATTTGACGATACATTTTGGCGATATCGGCGGTAAATACGTAACGATATTGGCGCCACTGCATTATGACAGCGGCCAAATCCTTTTGAAGTTTAGGTCCGATAAACATATTATCGTTTAACGAGGTTCCGTTAGTGGTACGGCAGGATGCATTAAAAACAACCCGCAGTCGAGTAGTTGCACTACTGTCACGTAAGACAGCATGATGCGGTATGTAATAACTTTGATCCGGTTGTACAATTTCTGTCGGTGGAATTTTGATCATATGACCAAGGTTTTCGTATTCCGTGAGAAAGTCGTGGTATTCTGAAGCGATAGATGGATTGCGTTTGAAACGTCGCTCTAAGCGATAGAGGCTCGATTCGGCAATGAAGCGAGATTCTCCTAACGAGAGTGGTGGTCCGGTTTTAAACGGTAATCTACAGGGTTTGTCCGGAAAGTAATGCGTCGCATTTTTTTAAAAAAGAATTATTGATCGCATAGGTAAAACAACTTAAAATTGTTCGAAGTATGACCCTTCTGCGTCAATACATTTTTGCCAACGCGATTTCCATGCGTCATAAGATTTCTGGAACTCCTTGACTGGGATGCTGTTCAGGGAGGCCGTCGAAGTAGCTTGTACGTTGTCAACCGACTCGAGCTGTTGTCCTTTGAGCTCCCTTTTCAGCCGAGGAAATAAAAAAAAGTCCGCCGGGGCCAAACTTTCTTGAGCATTTCAAAAGTTCCAGCGGCGTCTTGTCCAGCTTCACGCAAAACTTTATCGCATAGCGTTGCTCTATCGTTCTCTCCATCACAAGTTCGACGCGACCACTAAGCAGAGGTTCACAGAATAAGCCGTCCTAACCCTCCAAGCGCATGGAAACAATTGAGCGACCTACCGTTGGAAAGCTAAGGGTACCCCCCTTCCTCCCCAACCGGTCCCATCGCTCTGCGATGTATAGTCGCGTCACAAAAAAATGCGACGCATTACTTTCCGGACAAACCCAGTAACAATATAGCGTCCTTGAGGAGTGCGTGCGGGAATGGGTAGCGAGGAAGTGCTCTTCACACTTGCGCTCGTCAGGGCTATGGTGTTGGGTCGGAGGGACCTCTTCAGTCTCCCAGAAACGACGAAGGTCGAAATCTAAGGCTTCAAGGACGACTCCGTGATGCGCGGTCTCCGAAATCGAAAGATTGATCGGGGACGAAGCGATTGGCCCGGACAAAATCCAACCGAGAGTAGTATTTTGCGCGGTGGGCTCCGTTTCGGAACCTTGTCGAACACCATCGAGTACGAGCATGCCGTATAAATCCGCTCCGATTATTATATCAATCGGGTCGGTACTCATGGGGTCACTATCCGCTATTGGAGTCCGTCGACATGGTTCCACGTACCCGTCGTGCTTATTCGATTCGGTACATATTTTGTCAACGATCGAAGAATGAGTGCGGTCGTTGAATAAGCGGGTTCGTCGCGATTCGCCGGCGTAATTGTAAGATGAGCGGCGTGACGGACAACGGATTGCATCTCGCTGATGCCGGTGACGAACATTGAACGATTTATTTTAGAGAGTCGTAAACGTTGCGCGAGCGATTTGGTAATAAACGTAGAAACGGAACCTTGATCCAGAAGTGCGCGTGCAGTTATAAAAACGTCCAACAGGCGAATAGACTCTCACCCGGGCAGTCGCAAGCAAAATATTAGAATTAGGCGCGACGGTTTTCGATAGTAAATGCGACATGACTTCGTTTACATTTGCGCTTGTTGCTGGCGGTGACTCCGTTTGCACCGGCGGAGTCGAATTATCGAAATGTAATAACGTGTGATGACGTTTATTACACTGGCGGCATACGCGCGAATTCGAACAATCTTTGACGGAATGCTTACTACTAAAACAGTTTAAACATCGTTTTCGCTGCTTAATAAAATCGAAACGTTGAGAGGGTGTTTGCTTTAAAAATGTCGAACATTGGTATAATAAGTGATTGGCCTTGCACAACGGACATGCGAACGAAACGGTGGACGCGGTATGCGACACAAGAATTTTTCCTTCAGAGGTAGAGGATGGCTTTTCTTTAGAAAGTGGTACGATCGCCTCGAGAGCGCGAATTCGAGACTCAAGAAATTGATCGAGCTCATTATAACGCGGATATTCCACCGTATCGCCGCTTGAGTTCCCAAGCGGTAGTTTTCGTTAATGATCACTCGCGGATTCGTTTTAATATACTTTTATTCAAATCACAAATTATAATAAGAGTGTTAGAAACGAGGCGGACGATATTTCAACAAAAGGTGTATCGATCTATCTCGTCTCGTGGCTGGACGCTCAATAATGATCCGAGACACGTAGCCAAGGCGCGAAGCGAAAATTTTGGGGATTTGCGCAGGCGATTCGCGTCGAGCGAAGGAAAAGACAGGCGAGTAACACGTGGATCACATGTGTTTTTGACGTGTTGTCCCGCGTTGGCGCGAATAATTACTGAGATGTCGAACGATAATATAAACGGAGAATTGAACGACCTATACTTTAGGATTAGGCTTATTCCTGAACATAAAGGATTCGCTTTTTATGTGTGAATTTTCCACTGCTATAAAGTTATTAATCTAAGAACGCCTATTTTTTATTGTTATTGTGGGGTCGTAAAGAGTACAACTAAAATCTATAGGTTTAATATTATTTATATATTCAAGTTTTTGTAGATGTATCAACCACGTAAATTTTTGACGTGTGTATAATTTATTTTTTGATAGTAGTTATTAAAAGACGCACTATAATGTATAAGAATATCATCCCAAACAAGTGGTGGAATAATATTATTTAACATTCGGAAATGTTTAGAACAATTCCTTTTTAACAATTCTATGTGTCTATAAAGGTCAAAAATTTCAATGTTAAGGATTTCTACTTTAGTTCTGTGTAACATACTTTCTAATTTCTTTGTATTACACGTGCAGGCAATGTGGCACTTTCGGTGCATGTTTTCTGTGCCGAAAGCGGCCGATTTCCCCCGCCGCCATCTAGCGGCGACACGGTGAGTAAAAAAACCGGTTTTAAAGCCATTATCTACAACTGAGCCGTGTTAAAAGTCATTATATACGGCTCAAGCCGTAGGAAATGTATTGAAACCGGCTATTCCCCCACCGTGCCGCGGCAAGATAGCGGCGTGCGCGAGGCGGCCGATCGCACGCCGCTATCTTGCCGCGGCACAGTGGGGGAATAGCCGGTTTCAATACATTTGCTACGGCTTGAGCCGTATATAATGACTTTTAACACGGCTCAGTTGTAGATAATGGCTTTGAAACCGGTTGTTTTACTCACCGCGTCGCCGCTAGATGGCGGTGGGGGAAATCGGCCGCTTTCAGCACAGAAAACGCGCCGAAACAGCCACTTTGCCTACACTTGCAATACAAAATAGTATGTGTATCAAGTGCGGATTGACAATTGGTCACGAGTGCGGGGGATGGACGCACGAGCCTTCGAAGCTGTGAAGATGTTTGTTTTTCTGAGGAGAGGACTCTTTGTTGGAATGCCTGAATTCGCGGGTATCAGAAAAGCCGCGGGAGAGGCGAACAAAGGGATCTTGCTCATGAGATGGTTGTAATAATTGTCACACCACGTTTAACTGAACTAATCTTTATTCACGCGCATGGCACATACAAATACCATGTTCCCGCCGTGTGACTCGATATATAGCGTGGCGTATGCCCTCCAACTTCTTCCCCACGTCGTTGTCCGTCGTGCCCCACTCGTGACCAATTGTCAACTTTCCGCACTTGATACACAATATACTATTGTATTACTTGTGCAGGCAATGTGGCACTTTTGGTGCATGTTTTTTGTGCCGAAAGCGACCGATTTCTCCCGCCGCCATCTAGCGGCGATGCGGTGAGTAAAAAGCCGGTTTCAAAGCCATTATCTACAACTGAGCCGTGTTAAAAGTCATTATATACGGCTCAAGCCGTAGGAAATGTATTGAAACCGGCTATTCCCCCACCGTGCCGCGGCAAGATAGCGGCGTGCGATCGGCCGCCTCGCGCACAGAAAACGCGCCGAAACAACCACTTTGCCTGCACTTGCAATACAAAATAGTATGTGTATCAAGTGCGGATTGACAATTGTTCACTCGTGTAGAGTGGTCGTACTCGCCTTCGGCTCGTGCGTCCATCTCCCGCACTCGTGATCAATTGTCAACTTTCCGCACTTGATACACAATATACTATTTTAGCTTTATGATGACAAATAATAAACCTATTGTAAGCAAGATTCGATAAGTGTTTAGGTAAAATGCCTGCTGTTTTACAATTTTTTAAAAAGGTTAATTTAGATCTAGATCTTAATTCATAATTATTATTCAACCATTGTTTTAACTCTGAGACCACTTTGCTACGAACTCATGGTATATAAACTCAAAATTAAATCTATGATAATAAGAATATTAAGTCGGTTCCTTAATTTTTAAAAACACAATCTACACTTCATTCCTCTCAGCCAATAGAGTCTCATGCGATGTTATTGCGACGATTAAGAAAGAAAGAAAATTGGAAACTAAGGAATTTGTATCCTATGGTTGGGATCTCAGAAATTCCTCATTGTTCCTTTTCCTAACTTCCCCTGTAAAGAAATAGGCGAGAAAAATATTGGTCCGAAAGTCGGCTGAATCGGAAATCGAACCCGAGACCTTCCGCTTGCCGGGCGACTGCTCTTCCAACTGAGCTATTCAGATACTTACAAATCAATATTTATCTCAATGTTTATACCCCCAAAGCGTCGTGATTAGGCCCAGACGCGACGAAACAATCGAAACAATAATAAGAATATTAAATCGGCTCTTTAATTTTTAAAAACACGATCTACACTCCATTCCTCTCAGCCAATAGAGCCTCACGCAATGTTATTGCGACAATTAAGAAAGAAAGAAAATTTGGAAACTAAGGATACAACTATAGGATACAAATTCCTTAGTTTCCAAATTTTCTTTCTTTCTTAATTGTCGCAATAACATCGCGTAAGGCTCTATTGGCTGAGAGGAATGGAGTGTAGATCGTGTTTTTAAATCTATGAGGTTTAAATCTTTTGAGTTTAAACGCATTATAAGGCCAGCGTGATAAAAATTAAAAAGAATAAGTAAATATAAAAATTACAAGTTTTTAAATATAAAAATATATAAATTTATAAAATTATAACGGACCGCTTTCTCGGCGCGGCCGGATCGCTCAATCGGGATCGACAAGGTTCGAGAAAGGGTTAAATTCAAGAAGCGTGCGACGAGGTGTCGGTTTAACAA